ATAGTCGCTATGCCCTTTGCCAACTTTCTTGCCAGACAGGTTCATGGCATCTCGGGGCCAGTTATCTACCAGCTTGTGCAGGTCATCCGTGAAAGTCCCCTTCCGGCTGGAGGCGATGGCGGCAGGCGGAGGCTGGGGCGCCTGGCTGTTCACCGCAGCCCCCACCGTGTTCGTGCTGCTGGTCCCTACGGACACAAGACGCGGGAATCAACGCTCGGGTCAGAGACCACCGCTCTCCAGTAAACGGCGTAACTGCGGGAAGGGCGCGCCCGCCGAGCCGGTTAGGATGCCATGCAGATTAAATCTCCGCCCCAGTCCCGGGACACGCTGGCGTGGGAACCGCGGGGGCTCCCGTGGGCATTTTCTCAGGTTGAGAGCGTTTCCCAGGCACGTTTGCTGTCCCACGAGTGCCGCGGGCGGCCAGCTCGAGGGGAGCGGGAGCGCCTGCACGTCTTCGCAGAGGAAGGAGGAGATGAGGGTTCGGCACCGAACGGCAGCACGGCCACCCTACGCCCTTTGACTAGCGGCAACCACCCCTGGCACGGGCCAGTTCCACCTCGGGGGACAACGCTGGATGCTGAACAAGGAGCAGTACAGCCAGCATCCAACTGCTCTGTAGCAAATTATCTCCACTTGGCGAGGAGAAAAATTCACCCAGACCAAGCAAAATAAAAAAAAAAACCACCCTTGTGAGAACTGGCAACTGCTGTTCCCAGCAGCTGCCGTACGCGCGCTCTTGCGGATACCCAGAGGGGCCTGCCTTCGCCCGCCCAACGCCAGGGCCAGCAGGGGAAGGCTGCGCTGCGTTAAACTTGGCTTTTCACCCCGAACACGTTTTTTTCACTGTTATGCTCAGACTTCCTACGGCAGAAGGACAACTATTGCGGTTACGAGCAACTGACAGGGGCCTAGCGGTGGCGGAACCGAGCGCAGCTTCTGGGACGTGCTCTGACAAGGTTTTCTCTTCGCAGGGCTGGTGGCCACCCCCCGAGAAACCCTTCACACAAGCACCCGCCCTCAGCTCTGCTAGAAAGCTGCCTTGTGCTATCCTGGGGGAAAAGCCACCCGGCAGCTTTGTTTCGGAGAGTCTCGCTAGCCCCCTCCCGCTTCCAGCCAGCCAGCTGCGCTCAGACTGAGGTTTTCCGAAGGCAGACCTCCTAACGGGAGTTGAAGAAACCGTACGCTATCAAGTATCCTAAATTCCGGGCAGTACTGCTAGGTATCCTCATTGACGGATGCGGGAGGGACGGCAGAACACGAGGACTGCTTCTTCCAAAGGATGCGGTCAAGGCAGAAGGGATCTAGGCTTTTCAGATCTACTTGGTAGAAAATCCCACACCAAATCAGCATCTGGGCACAGCAGCACTAAACCCAGCCGCTCATCCTCACCTACTTGGGTAGCAAAGTTCCCTGGGTGTTTCTACTTGCTCGCTCCCAAAGGCTGCGGCTGGGTATTCCAAGAAAACCCAAGCTCGTGGCCAACATTTCTGAAGAAAACTGATTTAAAAGCGAAGCATCAACAACGCCAGCAACAAAAATCATCTCTCTACTGCCAAGGCCAAGTGACCAAGTCGCTGCTCTTGCCCGACAGCTGCTTCATCGGTTCCGCTTTCCCTGGCTGTCGGCCCCTTTCCTTGCAGCCGCTGCATCAGGGAAAACCGGCTCCAAACCCTGCAGGAATGTTTCGTGGTGAGGAGTGAATCGGGAGGTGACGTACTTACTACGCAGGACACGTAAGTGAAGTGTTACTACCTCGAGTAGTGCTGAGGAGGGAAGGACACACATCCCTCCCGCCACACTCCAGGGCGGCAGCGGCTCCCGGTGCGGGTGCCCGCAGGGGCAGCGGCTGTGGCGGGCAGACACATGCAGCAGCGCGCACGGAAGGGAACAGGCGAGGTTCCCTGACCAGGGTGTGCCGCTGCACACGGATGGACAGCAGCGGGGACACGCTGTCAGGTGGGAAGGGGAGCCTACGGTGAAGTAAGAGCCGTCAGCATGCATCATGTGGAAAGGGGCAGGATACCCTTATTTAGGAAGAGCAATGACGTGAAAGGCGAAATTAAAGACAAATGAGGCAAAAGCAAGAAGGAGGTACTTGGGGGGAGCTGCCAAAACCAGGGATCATCACATTCCACCAGGAGGGTTCATGCAGGGATTGACACACTCGCTCTCATCCTCTTCACGATGGCCACTATCTGCTTCTGGCACATCACGTTTCCACTCCATCGCTAAATACGCTGGATCCTGGACCTACACCGGAGAGCTTCCTCAGGCCTCGAGAGAGGATTAATCAAGGTATGCACTACAGGGCACTCACTGAAAAGGGAAAAGATCAGTTTGGAAAGCGTAGGTGTTTTGAAAAGGACTGGATTGGTTCGGGGGGGAAGGGGAGAGGTTGCGAGAGCTTCGTCTCCAAAAGGGGTTTCGTTAGGGAGCTCCTGTCTCAGCTCACATCATACACCATTACTGCTGAGCCGCACCGTTACTGCCGCTCCCACATAACACCCTTTGAGCAAACAGCTTCTCCGAGATCTCCCACTTGCACCCTGACTAGCCACCCGCAGAAGCTGC